GGGCCTGAATTGTTTGATTGTAGATGGGTTCTCCACTTTTGGGATTAAGACTAACAAGGTGCGGTTCACATTATTTGGGACAGCCCCCTCGCGCCACATATGCCTTATGAATGACCGAACAGCTGGGCCTACGAGTTCCCAATTTTTTTGGAAGAAGAGAGCGTTTAATCCATCAGCTCCTGGCGCTTTCAGAGGCCCCATATTGGAGAGGGCTGAGAAAATTTCATCATCCATGATATCACCTGCCATAGATTGCAACAGATCACCATCACATCTAGGAAAAAAATTCAACGGGTCTCCGGGTATCGCTGGGTTAGGGCCTGCGGTGTAGAAGCCTTTAAAGAAGTCGGTAGCTAGGAGACAAAGGGAAGCCTGCTCCGTTACTTGGTTCCCCGCCTCATCCGTAAGTTCATAAATTTTGCCACGCCTTCAGCGATGTTTGATTTGCCGGTGGTAGAAAGTCGTATTCCTGTCACCTAGGTAGGTCCAGTCCCTCGTAGCCTTTTGGATTAGCAGTAGCTCCTCCTGCCTGATCACATCATCAAGCTTGAGGTGAAGCTGCTTTTCTAGTTTAACAAGCCGCTCCCGACCATAGAATTGTCGACTCTTTTGGATCCCTCCTATTCGGGCCAACAACTTTTTTTCCGGTGAAAAATGTTCCCAAAGACTTGATAGTTTCACTCCTTGGCCGCCGAGGCAAAGCTTTCCGCCGCTCCTGTATAGTCATGAGAGGGCTTCCACGCGTTTGTCAACATATCTGTGAATCCGGGATGGAGAAGCCACGCGGCCAGATATCGAAACGGTTTTACGCTATTTGTGGCGTGACATGTTCGGCCAAATCCCAAAAATAATGGAGAGTGGTCTGATTGGACCCCCGGGAGTAGACGGGTTCTAGCTGTCTCAAAGGACTCGATCCATGGTAGGTTCGCTATGACTCGATCCAGCTTCACGGCCACCCTTCCATGCCTCGTATCTCGGATCTATGTAAAGAGGTGTCCGTCTGTAGTTACCTCTTGAAGGCTATTATTGAATATCCAATCCGCGAACTCCTGACTA